TAAAACTTATGAGACAGCGTGTGACGAATGTACACAAACAAATGAAGTACAATATTAGAAAAGGAAAGTGCACTCGTGCGCTTGATTTTGACAATAAGTCTAAACACAGTACTGCTAAAGAAAATGGAAAAAGAAAAATTTCAGAATTGTCTAGCCTTAACCATTTAGACGAAACAGAGAGTTGGCGAAAAAAAAAACAACACAAACATTTCCAACCCATCAAGTACCGTCCTTTCACAGCACTGTCGTTAAAAATCTCAAAGTGTTCGACCATTAAAGCAGATGAAAATAACCTTACGCCCATAGTGGTCGATGGTATTGAAAGCGTTGTGGTCATAGAATGTGACAATGAGACTAGGTTCACTGTTGATGAGCCTATTAAGGACGTGGTTTTCCATGATTAAAGTAAGCCATTGTCGGATGATTGTTTAATGAAATCCGTTTCAACACCTGGCAGTCATAAATCTCCGTTTCGACTACCAGTGAAATCTATAGATTTATACGACAATATGCTCCCTAAAGATTTGACGTACTATAAACCAATTAAGTTACCGAAAAATAAACATTATCTAGTTGTAAAATATAGTTACTTATTATCTAGTAATAAAAATTGTAACATCTTGGACGACCTGTATTTCCCAGATTTTGATACATTGTCTGGAGAAAATTGGCTGTGTAACTTTGTTATAGAATATAGATATTTTTTTGTCATACGCTTTTAATATGCGCTTAGAAAACACACACATTTTATCATGCAATGATGTTGCATGGCTATTGGGAAAAAGAGTAGGTTAGGAAGTGCATAACAAAATTACTTTCAATCAGAACAGTATGGTTGTCTTGCCATGGTTAATTGGGAGACATTGGATTATAGTCTGTATAAATTTCAACACCAAAGAGTGTTACATCATGGACCCGATTAGTCCATATGATACAGAGTGTCGAGCATCAAAAGATCATTTCAATAGAGTATTTAAAATATTGATATCAGATGTATCTACGGAGACGGCACACATGAATGTCCATCGTTAACACAGATTTAATGCCCTTTTTAATATGTTCCAAAACAAAATGATGTATTTAATTGTGGAGTTTATATTGTATATTACGCATTTAAATTTATGGACAATTCCAAGTTCAGTTTAGAGTTCGATCCTAACACTTATAGAGAATATTTAAAGACCTATCTATTAGAGAATTCCGAAGACAAGACAAACATGTGCTTATACCTACTGTAACTGGCACTCAGATAGGCACCATTGTCAACCGGATGATGAATTTGTAGAATGGGTGTCGTGTTCTCGGTGTTGTCGCTGGATAGCCATCAATAACATCCCTAAAGAAGACAGAATTATTATTTATGATAATATTGATTCTGTTTATTTTGTAAAAAATGATGGAATTAAAACAATATACAGAAATACTAAATATAGAGTTTAGGAAACAAGTTTATTGTTAACAAATGTCTGGCATGTGTTTGATAACTGAGCCAGACTGTTATCAATAGGTAACATAACCACAAAATAGCGATTCATTTTCATCAGACTCTCTCACTCAATATAAAATACGTGGTGTATAACAATTAATAATGTATGCCAGTCAGTTGTCTTATAATTAATTTAAACTAATAAATAATATGTTATTCAATATTAAATGTTTAATAGTTTTAATAACAAACATGGCGCAGCCGTAAACGAATCTAATACTGCAATTGATTTTAATTAATTAATTTAATAAATAAAATAATGGAGTTCAACAAGCCGGCACCTCTAAAAATGACTGGTAACTTGAGTCAAAATTTTAAGTTCTTTAAACAGCAAATTGAAATTTACATGACGGCAACGGAGACAGATGAAAAATCAAAAACAATTCAAGTAGCAAGATTATTGAATTTGATGGGCACGGATGCCTTGAAAGTCTACAGCAAGTTAAGTTAGTAATAGATAAACCTGATACGGAAGTATCGCAAATTCTAGGCTAATTGGAAAAATATTGTTCACCTAGAACTAATGAAATCAAGTCACATTATAAGTTTTGTACATCAAAACAAAATGATGAAAATTTTGATGTCTATTTAACGAGACTCAAAGAGCTGGTAAAACCGTTTAATTTTGGTACACTTGAAAATAAACTATTGAAGGCACAAATCGTACTGGGAATTCGTTGTCGTGATACGCTAGAAAGGCTACTACGGGAAGACATGACATTGGATCAAGTAGTGGCATTCTGTCAGTCAGTGGAGGCAGCCGAAAAAAATTGCAAGGAGCTAGAAAGCAAATCAGAGGTACATCACATAGCTAAGCAGACACCAGCTGCAGTTTCAAAGCAGAAGACAACTATAAATAATTGTACAAGATGTGGTAAGACCCATTTAATTAATAAGTGCTTCACCTTTGGGAAAATTTGTAATAAATGTAAGCGTATGAATCATTTCAGTAATCTTTGTAAATTTAATATGGTCACTGATAAACAAAATAATATAAATAATAAAAAAGGTAAATCGTATAAACAACATTTAATTACAACAGTAGATTCAGAAACAGGGTCTAATGATGAAGATTTAGTTATTTCTATAAATCAAGTTGAAATAAAAGAAACTGATAGCAAAAAATGGTCACAAGTAATTAATGTTAATGATACTCAAATAATTTTTCAGATAGATACGGGAGCAGAAACTAATATATTACCATACAGAGTTTTTACAAAAATTAACACTAAAAAATTAATTCAACCCACAAAAGTTAAAATTGAGTCTTATGGTGGTTATAAATTAACCCCAAAAGGAATAATAATATTAGAATGTAGGGGAAATAGTTAAAGATGTTCAATTTGTAATAATAGAGCATCCTAAATGTATTCCAATATTAGGATTAAGCTCTTGCATTGATTTTAATTTGGTACAAAGAATTAATAGACTACACATTAGTAAGACTAAGACAGCGGAACTTGATAATTTTATATCCAAAAATAAAGATGTATTTTAAGGTTTAGGTACCTTTCCGGACTTAGTTCAAATTAAGTTAGTCGATGAGGCTGTTCCTAAAGCAAATCCTCCTCGTAGAGTTCCACTTGCATTAAAACCAAGATTGGAACAAACTTTAAAAGAACTTACTAACAAAAAAATAATAAAACCTGTAAATGAACCCTTAGAGTGGGTCAATAATATTGTTATAGTAGAAAAATCTAATAAAACATTAGAGTATGTCTAGATCCAAGTAATCTTAATAAATATATAGTGCGTGAGTATTTCCCTATTTCTACACTAGAAGAAATAACACCAACATTAATAAATAAGAGTATTTTTTGTGTGTTTGATTTAAAGGACGGCTTTCACCAAATACAATTGGAGAAAGAATCTAGTAATTACTGTACTTTCAGTAGTCCTTTTGGTTGTTATAGGTTCTTGAGAGCACCATTTGGTTTATCGTCAATACCAGAAATTTTTCAAAAACCAACTCATAAATATTTTGGTGACATAGAAAATGTCATAGTTTATTTTGATGATATACTCTGTGCAACCAATCTAGGGAAGAAATGGATAAAACTGTGTTAAAAGTTTTTGAAAGGGCAAAAAAATATAATATTAAATTTAATGCAAATAAAATACAATTTTATCAATCTGAAGTTAAGTATTTAGGATTATTGTTTCCTAAAGATGGTATGAAGCCAGATGATAATCGCATCACTGCCATTAAGGAACTTAAAATTCCTAGTAATAAAAAAGAGTTACAACAAATATTGGGAGTAATAAATTATCTTAGAGTTAGACAATTCATACCAAATTTGTCAGAATTAAGCTCACCATTTAGGGAATTAATGAAAAATAATGTATTATGGCAGTGGACAAATAAAGACACAGGAATATTAGAAAAAATTAAGACTTTAATAGCAGAAACATCAGCACTAAATAATTTTGATATGATTAAGCAAATTACAGTTCAGTGTGATAACTCACAAAATGCGCTGGGATGTTGCTTGTGGCAAGATAATAAATCAGTAGCTTTTGCGTCTAGGTCTTTAATATCTACAGAAATAAATTATGCTCAAATTGAAAAGAACTATTATCAATAACATATGCACTTTCAAAATTTCATAATTATGTCTATGGGAATAAAATAATAATAAATAACACGATAATTTGAATTTAGTCTCATTATTGAAAAAACCAATAGACAAAATAAAAAATAATCGTCTAAGAAGATTAAAGATTAAAACTTTACCATACACGTTTGTATTAGAATATGTCCCTGGACCAAAACTATATATTGCTGATCTCTTATCAAGAAATATCTTATACTATAAAACGCTAACCCGAGGGCGACCTCCCGTGGACTAATTTCGCATCTACTTAAGGGAGAACCAATGAGAACGCTCCGTTTCCCCGCCGTCAGCGATCGCCGTTTCTTATCACCGTCACCGCTATCACTACTACTGTGTTTGACATTTTTTTTTGAGATTCTTCGA